CCAAAACGAATCTCCCGCCCGAGTATGCATATCCTCCAAAAATTTAAAAAGCCATTAATAAACAGGATTTGGACATGAACCTGAAATATTACTAATTAGATTTCAGGTATAGCTGAAAATCGTCGTATGACCCCCATTTCCGCACCCACCACCCTCCAGACTACAACTTCCACAAAAGACCCCAGAATGGTCGAGAAACAGGGGGGTCAAGGGAGGTTTTCTTCCCCCTGGGAGAAATGTCCTATGGGTTTTTGGATCTGCGATATAAAAAAGTCTTGTCTCGGTCACGTGATGTGTCACGTGACCGGTCAGGTGAGCCTGTCAGCCGGGTCACGGACCCTGTCAGCCGGCTGACATGTCACGGGCCTGCTGACACGGTCCGCTGACCGGTCACGGCCGCCCGGAGAGATCAGGCCCCCGGCCAATCTCCGGACACTTAGCCTCCTGGCGGGCCTCCAGGGGGTCTGAGGCGGGGCTGAAGGCTGCAGTCGGTCTACTGACCGGCCCGGCCGGCAGGATCCGTCGAGAAACAGGGGGGTCAAGGGAGGTTTTCTTCCCCCTGGGAGAAATGTCCTATGGGTTTTTGGATCTGCGATATAAAAAAGTCTTGTCTCGGTCACGTGATGTGTCACGTGACCGGTCAGGTGAGCCTGTCAGCCGGGTCACGGACCCTGTCAGCCGGCTGACATGTCACGGGCCTGCTGACACGGTCCGCTGACCGGTCACGGCCGCCCGGAGAGATCGGGCCCCCGGCCAATCTCCGGACACTTAGCCTCCTGGCGGGCCTCCAGGGGTCTGAGCGGGCTGAAGCTGCAGTCGGTCTACTGACGGGCCCGGCCGGCAGGATCCGTCGAGAAACAGGGGGGTCAAGGGAGGTTTTCTTCCCCTGGGAGAAATGTCCTATGGGTTTTTGGATCTGCGATATAAAAAAGTCTTGTCTCGGTCACGTGATGTGTCATGTGACCGGTCATGTGATCCTGTCCGCCGGGTTACGGACCCTGTCATCCTGCTGACATGTTATCGGCCTGGAGACACCGTCCGTTTACCGGACACGGCCGCCCGGAAAGATCAGGCCCCCGGCCAATCTCCGGACACTTAGCCTCCTGGCGGGCCTCCTGGGGGTCTGAGGCGGGACTGAAGGCTGTCCTTGTCTACTGACCGGCCCGGCCGGCAGATCCGTCAAGAAACAGGGGGGTCAAGGGAGGTTTTCTTCCCCCAGGAATAAATGTTCTATGGGTTTTTGGATCTGCGATATAAAAAAGTCTTGTCTCGGTCACGTGATGTGTCACGTGACCGGTCAGGTGAGCCTGTCAGCCGGGTCACGGCCCCTGTCAGCCGGCTGACATGTCACGGGCCTGCTGACACGGTCCGCTGACCGGTCACGGCCGCCCGGAGAGATCAGGCCCCCGGCCAATCTCCGGACACTTAGCCTCCTGGCGGGCCTCCAGGGGGTCTGAGGCGGGGCTGAAGGCTGCAGTCGGTCTACTGACCGGCCCGGCCGGCAGGATCCGTCGAGAAACAGGGGGGTCAAGGGAGGTTTTCTTCCCCCTGGGAGAAAAGCCAGTTTATGGTCTTCCCGTCGTTGAGGGCGTGTGTGTCAGGAAGAAAGACCATGTCTGGGGTGTCGAGCAGCACATTCTGCTGCTCCCTTTCGTTCTCGATGACCTCGTAGATCCATTGCTTTCGTGGCATGTTGATCTGGTTCTCGATGTAGGACTGCATTTCTGGGCCGAATGCAATCTCCGGTGTGCAGTTTACGATGCATCTCTCGAAGTAACCGTTGTTCCTCTCCTTTGCTATGATGCGGTAGGGTCGATCCTTGTCATGGTCGCTCTCGGCCATGCAGGCATCCCTGCTCATCTTTTTTTTCGCAGAGAATGCGATGCGGGTGGTTAAATAAAGGGTGGGACTGTATCTCTTTATTTGCAGGAGGGTTTCGCACGATCAAATCACACACACCTTGCGAGCGCGATCGATTGCACGTATTGCAGCGCCGGGATGGTGCGCAGCGTGTTTCCGTTGCCGATGATGACCAGCCTCTCCCTTGCACGGCTCAGTGCCACACACAGGCGGTGCTTGTTGGCAAACGTGCGCTGCCGGAAGAAGACCGTCTCTCCCGCGAAGATCGAGCTCGCCATCCCGTCCTCGAAGCGGATCTCGACGTGGACGTAGGGAGGGTCGAACCAGGATACGAGGCGGTTCAACAGCGGGTCGTCCGGCTGTGCCTTGTAGAAGAGGAGCTGCACCGTCCTCATCCCGCGAGACTAGCTCGATGTTTGTGCTTTTTCATTAAATACACCGTTAAAAAACTACCCTAGGCACGCACCATGCTGCGGTAGGCATCGGTCGAGAGGCGCGTGGAGCGGCTCACAAACGGGGTTGCGATGGGCTTTGCCGCTGAAGCCTGCATCTGCGCATCGTGCTTCCTCTTCAAGCGCTGGAGGTCGGCAAGGAGCCGCTCAATCTTCTTGTCATCGCTCTGCTCTTGCATTCCTGTAGGCCTGGGATAAGGCTTCACGATCTCGGTTTCCATATGCGACCTGCGATTTGCGCGCGCGGGCGAGAGCTTCTTCAATTGCTCGTCGTTCTCCTTCTTCATCCGCTCAAGGTCGGCCGCTCTCGCAGCACTGCCTCCCGCTCTCCTGCAGGGAGCCCATCCGCGCTCACGTACAGAGGATGCGCCGTGAGATGCAACACGAGACAGAGCTCTCCGACCTCGACACCCTGCAGAGCATGACCTCGGGCACCTTCTTCTACGAGATCGCCCTCCTGCGCAACTGGCAGTACGTGCGCGAGAAGCTCCAACTGCAGGTCATCCTCTACCTCCCGCTCTCCCAAGTCCCCACGGCAATGCTCACCCTCAACCGCGGCAGAAACAACGGGCCGTGGAACCAGTGCTCCAACGGGGTGCAGATCTACGGCAACTTCCGCCCTGACGGCGAGAACAACACCCTCTCCGTGCAGCGCAACGTCTGCAGGCGCATCACCGCCGCCATCCGCAACTTGCAGCCCGCAAGGATCTCCTTCGCCCTCTGCTTCACGGGGCTGGATTCTCTCATCCAGATGGTGCGCACACCACTGATGCCGCTGCATCCCAATAGCAATCAGATCAATGCCGACCTGTATTTCATACACGAGGACAGCCAGGTGGTGATTGGAAACACAGGGTTGGTGCTTGGGGATGGAGCCGACCGATGCACTCTCAAGTACAGCCTCACACTGGGCCCGTACTATATCTGCAACGAGCTCTGCCTTCTGCAACCTTCGGCTGTCTGCAGCGGGGCAGTGGAGTACCCCCGGCCAATCTCCGGACACTTAGCCTCCTGGCGGGCCTCCAGGGGGTCTGAGGCGGGGCTGAAGGCTGCAGTCGGTCTACTGACGGGCCCGGCCGGCAGGATCCGTCGAGAAACAGGGGGGTCAAGGGAGGTTTTCTTCCCCCTGGGAGAAATGTCCTATGGGTTTTTGGATCTGCGATATAAAAAAGTCTTGTCTCGGTCACGTGATGTGTCACGTGACCGGTCAGGTGAGCCTGTCAGCCGGGTCACGGCCCCTGTCAGCCGGCTGACATGTCACGGGCCTGCTGACACGGTCCGCTGACCGGTCACGGCCGCCCGGAGAGATCATGCCCCCGGCCAATCTCCGGACACTTAGCCTCCTGGCGGGCCTCCAGGGGGTCTGAGGCGGGGCTGAAGGCTGCAGTCGGTCTACTGACGGGCCCGGCCGGCAGGATCCGTCGAGAAACAGGGGGGTCAAGGGAGGTTTTCTTCCCCCTGGGAGAAATGTCCTATGGGTTTTTGGATCTGCGATATAAAAAAGTCTTGTCTCGGTCACGTGATGTGTCACGTGACCGGTCAGGTGAGCCTGTCAGCCGGGTCACGGACCCTGTCAGCCGGCTGACATGTCACGGGCCTGCTGACACGGTCCGCTGACCGGTCACGGCCGCCCGGAGAGATCAGGCCCCCGGCCAATCTCCGGACACTTAGCCTCCTGGCGGGCCTCCAGGGGGTCTGAGGCGGGGCTGAAGGCTGCAGTCGGTCTACTGACGGGCCCGGCCGGCAGGATCCGTCGAGAAACAGGGGGGTCAAGGGAGGTTTTCTTCCCCTGGGAGAAATGTCCTATGGGTTTTTGGATCTGCGATATAAAAAAGTCTTGTCTCGGTCACGTGATGTGTCACGTGACCGGTCAGGTGAGCCTGTCAGCCGGGTCACGGACCCTGTCAGCCGGCTGACATGTCACGGGCCTGCTGACACGGTCCGCTGACCGGTCACGGCCGCCCGGAGAGATCAGGCCCCCGGCCAATCTCCGGACACTTAGCCTCCTGGCGGGCCTCCAGGGGGTCTGAGGCGGGGCTGAAGGCTGCAGTCGGTCTACTGACGGGCCCGGCCGGCAGGACGGGCCCGGCCGGCAGGATCCGTCGAGAAACAGGGGGGTCAAGGGAGGTTTTCTTCCCCCTGGGAGAAATGTCCTATGGGTTTTTGGATCTCGGTCACGTGATGTGTCACGTGACCGGTCAGGTGAGCCTGTCAGCCGGGTCACGGCCCCTGTCAGCCGGCTGACATGTCACGGGCCTGCTGACACGGTCCGCTGACCGGTCACGGCCGCCCGGAGAGATCAGGCCCCCGGCCAATCTCCGGACACTTAGCCTCCTGGCGGGCCTCCAGGGGGTCTGAGGCGGGGCTGAAGGCTGCAGTCGGTCTACTGACGGGCCCGGCCGGCAGGATCCGTCGAGAAACAGGGGGGTCAAGGGAGGTTTTCTTCCCCCTGGGAGAAATGTCCTATGGGTTTTTGGATCTCCGGACACTTAGCCTCCTGGCGGGCCTCCAGGGGGTCTGAGGCGGGGCTGAAGGCTGCAGTCGGTCTACTGACGGGCCCGGCCGGCAGGATCCGTCGAGAAACAGGGGGGTCAAGGGAGGTTTTCTTCCCCCTGGGAGAAATGTCCTATGGGTTTTTGGATCTGCGATACGTCTTCGTCCATATCGTCTTCCCTCGGCGCTTCAAACTCCGATGGGAAACACACTTCGCTTCCTGCTGGAGCGCGACCTCATTGAACGGGACGACAATGCTCTTTACCAGAGTCCGGTTATCTTCGTCCGCAAAGGCACCTCGCCTAATGGTGAGCCCATCTGGCGCTTCTGTGTGGACTATCGGCAAGTTAATGCACAACTCATCGATGACAATTTTCCCCCTCCCATTCCCACAGAACTCATGGAGCGTGTGGGGCGCCAACTGGCAGCAAACCCGCCAGGTACTCCGCTATGGTTGAGCAAAGTCGACTTAGCTAGCGGGTTTTGGCAACTGAAGCTCACACCTCAGAGCAGTCAGTACACAGGATTTGTGACTGAGCAAGGGGCTTACAAATTCAAAGCGCTTCCGTTCGGTCTGAAAACAGCGACGGCCGCCTTCCAAAAGTTTACGCAAGGTATACTGGCTGATATCCCCAACGCGCTTGTGTACGTTGATGATGTGCTCCTCTGTACAGCGGGCACGCAAGAAGCGCATCTCGAGGATATTCGCCGCGTCCTGCAGCGCTTCCGTGAGCACAGAGTTTATGTCAAACGTAGCAAGTGCTTATTCATGCAACAGCAGCTTGATTTCTTGGGGTATACCATCACCCAAGCTGGCATCGCCACGGAGCCTAACAAGGTCCAGGCCATTCAACAATATCCGACGCCGGCTTCCGTCAAACAACTGCGTACATTCCTTGGGATGGCAAACTTCTATCGCAAATTCGTCAGCAACTATGCGCGCCTATCCTCTACGCTGTCAGATCTCTTACAGAACAGTCAGCGCCGTTTCGTGTGGACCAAATCTGCTCAGATCGCCTTTGATGCCTTGAAACAGGCATTGGCCACTACTCCAGTCTTGTGGCACTTTCAGCAGGATCGTGCGACCATCCTGTACACCGATGCTAGTGACCTAGCCATTGGCGCAACTCTACATCAACGCGATCGACATGGCAATGAGCATCCAATCGCCTACTATAGCAAGAAGCTGTCTTCCGCTGAACGCAACTATTCGACCTATGAACGCGAGCTCTTGGCTCTCAAGGAGAGTTTGAAGCACTTCTCCTACTACCTCATCGGACGCCGCTTCAAAGTCAAAACCGATCATCATAGCTTGATTCGCCTGACGACTCAGCCTGAGCTATCCCCTCGCCTTGCCAGATGGCTGTCTATCTTCCTGCAGTACGATATGGAAATCGAGCACATCCCAGGGGAACAGAATTCTGTTGCCGATGCGCTCAGCCGTGTGGTCGACTCCTCGCCCGATCCGGCATCCGCTGCAGCTCGCGAGACGCGCATTGACGACATGGCCAGAGATCTCCTCGTGGGTTTGCATCACATCCAGATCCTGACCAATGCCAACTTCTCTCAACAGCTCCTCCATCACTATGCGACCTGCCCGGACTTCCAGATCCTCTTTCAACTAGGACGTGACGGCGAGCTGGTAGGACAACCAGGATGCAAGTCGTTCATCTACCAAGACGAACTGCTCTTCCATCAAGACTCCTTGGGTCGTCGTCGCATCTGCATCCCCATCGCCATGCGGCCAGCCATACTCCGCATGGGCCATGACGAAGCGGGTCACCTCGGCTCTGACAAGACATATCTCGACCTGGCCACCAAGGTATATTGGTCCAACATGAAGCGTGATGTTGAGAATTATGTGCATTCTTGTCTGACCTGCCAAGCCGCCAAGGCATACAAGCAGAGGCCTGTGGGGCTTCCAAAGAGCCATGACGTTCCGGCTGACAAATTCGACGTACTCTCCGTTGACATTCTCAGCGGACTTCCCATTACCTCTGAAGGCTATGACGCCATCTTCGTCATGGTTGACTCCTTCTCGCAGCATGTTACCTTGGCTCCGACGACCAAGGACGCAACGACGCAGGACTTGGTCAAGCTTTTCATGCATTACTTCTACAGAACGCGGGGTCTGCCCAAGGCGATCATCTCCGACAACGGCTCAAATTTGTCTTCCCGCTTCTGGGATGCGTTGTTTGAGACTCTGGGTGTACAGGTCCGCCACTCATCCAAGTATCACCCTCAGAGCAATGGCCGGGTGGAACGCGCAAACGCTACCATCCTCGACATGCTCAGGACGCGCCTGACCGCCGCTCGTGACGATTGGAGCTCTCATCTTCCTTTTCTCGAGTTTGCCCTCAACCATGCGCCTCGCAAGGAAACGGGTCTCTCGGCCTTTCAAGTGGAGTACGGTCGCAATCCTCGCTCCGCCATGGACTTGACGCTCAGTCCGGTGATTCCTGAGGTGCGATCTACACTTGATCTCATCCAGGTGAATGAGAATGTCGTGCGCGACAAGCTCGCAGCAATGGCCAATCGCACCGAAGCTGCTTTACTTCAGACGCGCAGAGTTCTCAACTGGCACGTTGGTGATCAGGTGTGGCTGGATGCAAGACTCTTCAATCAAACCTTTGAAGTGCGCAAGTTTCGTGAAAAGTTTCTGGGACCCTTTGTGATCACTGAAGTCTTATCCAACAACAACTACAGAATCAACGTGCTGCAACGTTTCCCCAGGATGACCATCGACGTCTTCAACGCCAAGTTTCTTCGTCCTCACATTCAACGACAGCCCCAGCTGGACTCCGCTCCGCCTCCCCAGCCTCTCCCGGACTTCTATGAAGTGGAGCGCCTACTCGCTGATCGAACGCAGCGCGGACGCAAGGAGTATCTCGTTCGCTGGAAAGGTTTCTCCTCTGCTGATGACACCTGGGAACCAGTGGAACATCTCGTTCGCACTCGAGCGCTTCGCAATTTGGTTCAACGCTACGACAGGGCCAAACAGCGTGAGCGACGTCCGGTACCTTCCTCTGCTCAGGGACGGCGTTCACGCCGCCTTTGACCGCTCTTTGACTCTGGTCTAGGTGCGAGTTTGCGGGAGCGTATCAGAGCAAAGAAAGCGAAGTTTTCTGAGTCCTGAGCACTCCAAGAAAGCGCAGAAAGAGCGTATCAGAGCTCATAGGATAGCGAGCCCAACACAGGAGTGGTCAACACTCGAAATGTGGACAGCACACAAGGATAGCCTCTACAACTATCCAGACGAAAGACAGTGATTCTCTAACGGCTACTTTGGTTCAGAAGTCGGACCCCTCCGGGACGGTTTCCCTATCAAGCACCGGTGGAGCTCTCCTTTCTGGTAGAAACAAGAACAGGAGCAGCGCATGGACCAAAGGGGCCATAGCGACGGCACGAGGCAGGAAGACTCGTGCAAGCGGGGACCACTACCCCTGGGACTCCCACAGGGCTATAAAAGGATCAAGATCTTCATCTCTAGGTGGTCTGTCTTCCCTCCCTCTGTGTACCACGCATTTCCCTGTGTTGGTGTGGTTGCTGCAATAAAGCTTGATAATACTGTCTAGCACCATCTGTGTGATCCAGCGGAGGTTCTTTGAGCATTCGCTTGGCTAGTGTGCAACCCGTAAAGCTTCGGGGTGTAACACGTCTCCCAGTGAAGTGTTGGTGCAGTGTTATCTTGCGGATTTGTGGTGACCGTGTTTCTACTTTCCCCCTTTCCCCTGCCTACCCCTCGCCGCCCCAAGGTCAAACAGCAGGGTGTCTTGCAAGGCAACATTTATCGTCCTATAGCCCGTGGAAGGGTCGCCATCGAAAAGGTCAGAGACATTGGAGTTGGTTGGATCCACATAGGTGCTGCTGAAGGCGCAGAGCTGCATCTGATCTAGCCCACACGACCGCTCCAGCGTCACGGTGGGATACACCTTTAGGTCGGGCAAGTGCAGCGTCTTGGGATTGCTGAAGAGCTTCATCCGGATGTAGGTCTCACCCAGCCCAGAAACCTTCGGGTTGTGGATCTCGGCATAGGTGATGCTGTCGGAGTACCACTGCGGGCTGCCCTTGGGTGCGAACTTGTTCTCGAGCTGCATGCTCGGCAGTGAATCACGATAGGCTAGTTTGTGAGTGTCATCAGTCTCGTCCCAGAAGCACTGCACGGGAAACTTGAAGCCATCCTGATCAGAATAAGAGCTCGCCCCCTCACCTGTAAGCTCATCCACATACTTATTCCCCCTGACACAGAGTCGATTGTCCACCCGGGTAACATCCATGATCATCAGATTCTCGAAACTCGCCATGCGCTGCCCGTATCTCCGATCGATGAAATTCATGCCGTGGTCATAAGTCCCGAGCCGGTACAGACTGTCCTGCCGGTTGTAGACGTTGACACACCTCTCACACCTCTGCAACAACGGCGGGAGGCAGGGGATTGCAACCGAGGTGCCGTCACAGCTCACGAGAATGCAGGTATCCACACAGACATCGTTGACGGATATACCCGTGTAACCAGGCAGGCAGTCCAGCTGGCAGCTCACGTCCATGTCGTTGAAGCTCACGACCGCATTGGAAGGGGGGTTGGCGAAGCAAGGTGCGCAGGACGGGCTCACAACACAGTCGGAATCGTTCAGCGCGGAGGGATTCTGGCAACCGCACCCATCCATGTATTCCGAGAGTCCGCATGCGGGAGAGGAGGAATTTGGAAGCTGCGACAATGCCATCTTGCAATCGACACACCTACCGTAATTGGGCACATTGTCGGGTACCCCCCGGACGAAAGTGGTGCAGCCCACCCTCGTAAACCTCACCATGGCACCGTGGAAGTTATACCTCTGCACAAACTCAAGCGGGCACATCTGGAAGGGGAGAGCCTGGCAAGGCCTGCAGCCGTACAAGGAGGTGGCGGTATCCATGATAAACACACCCTCCTCGCAGTCGTAGTCGGCAGAGAGGAACACACCCGAGCACATAGAGCAGTTCATGTTCTTGTCTGTATACGACGCAGCGTCGAACACTCGGAGGCTATCCGTGGCACAGGCCACAGAATCACAAGCAACGCAAGTGCTGGAGGGACTCAGATCCGGACAGACGCGGGTCCTGCCTGACAGTCCCACATAATCGGTGCTCTGTGTGGTAGAATTCCAATACTCGCAACGACCCTGGCAGACTAGGGCACATTTAACGTGGTCGCTTGTATGATTCGCCGGTCCCAGGCAGAAGTGACAGCTCGTCTCACCGTATCCCGAATATTGATCCCAACCACACGGCTTGCACTGATATTGGTTGCGCTCATTCTGGTAGGTGCCCGGCTCGCATGGCAGGCACACGTATGCGTTCATCTCGATGCTCCACACGTTGATGGTCCCAAGGGCGCACGGCTCGCAAGAGGTCTGGTCTGCGTTGGGGCTGCTCCCGAGGGGACAGGTCTTGCACCCGATGTCACTCGCCTCGGAATAAGTCATGGGAGGGCATCGCTTACAAAAGTAATAGGGGATCACAGAGACATCCTGACCATCTATCTCGGTGACCACGGGCGGGAACTCGCTCTTCAAACAAGCCAGGTCGACCTCATCGACGCTGTACATCTGCACACGGTACCCAGCCTTACAGCTGCACCTCGAGAACGTCATGCCGTTCACGACCATCACGCGATCCTCCACCCTCTGCCTTACGCAGCTCGAGATGAAAGGAAGCATGCACTGGATATCCTCCACCCAGTTCATGATGAGGGTGTCCTGCTCTATGTAATTGTATTGTTGCATGTAACTGTCCATGCCGAGGCACTCCCGGTCGAAGTTAGAGAATGCAGTCAAGAACACATACTCTGACTGTAAGGAGCAGTACGGCTCTGCCTGCCTGCAAGTCGTAGACTGACAGTCGGGGGTATACCTGTTCACCGTGGTGATGGAAATGCACCGCTGCGTGCAATAGGTGCAGTCGCCGGAGTACTTACCCCCACAATTCACCCTGAACTGGCCCGGGATCGGACAACCTGGACAGGTGGCACACTCACGATCTTTCAGCTGCTCGTTACAACCGTTTGTCTCGTATTCATTCGCGCCACACTTCCTAAACGCGGTACATGCCGAATCGTCTGGTCCTGTGCACCCACCCGACAGATAATTCTCCGGTGCACAATCCTTACACGCCGTGCAGCCTGTATTGGACGAGTACGAACATTGAGACGAAGCGTAGAACCCAGGGAAGCAGCTAGTGCAGTCGCTGCACACAGGCGCAGCCGCATCCTGGCAAGGAGTGCTTGCATACATATTCGGCGGGCAGCTACACACCCGGCAGGCCACACCGGACGAAGAATCGAAGTATGCACCGGAATTGCACTCACAGAAGTATATCACACCGGTGACATCGGATATGTACTCCTGATTTTCGAAGGAATTTGCGATGCAGCCGAAACACGAAGCATCGGATGCACTACAGAACCTTGAAAACTGGTGTCCACCCAGGCATCCCCTACATAAACATACGAGGACAGTCAACCCCAACCAGTTGCATTCCCACCGCATTTCACACAATTTGGGCTACTATTCTTTAATAACAAACCTCGAAACGAACCAACTGAACAAACACACGATCACGAAGGAGGTGTCCCCGTCGAAACCGAACATGAAGCTGCGGCGGAAGCCGACGTAGTGGGTGAGGAGCATCCCCGCGGCGTCGAAGACCATCACGGCCGCCTCGAGGTCGAGGCAGGCCCCGCGCTCGGCGAGGGAGACGTCGAGCACCTTGTAGAAGCAGCGCATGGCGAGCATCACGAGCAGGATCCCCACGTAGGGGTTGGCAAGCGTGTTGTAGATGGAGAGGGTGAGGAGCAGCAGGATTCCGGTGATGAGGTTGAAGGTGAGGAAGTGCCTCGCCCGGTTGTCGCGGTCGAACCTGACCTTGTACGCCATGAAGGCCGCGTGCAACGCAACGTACGCCAGCATGAACCACGCGTACGCCAGCTCATCCCAGAGCAGCAGCGAGTCGTTCACCAGCAGCGGCAGCACCGAGCACCCCAGCACGCCGCCCACCACGGTGACCTCCGCGGCCCTCACCGCCCACGCCCAGCGGCCCCCCTCGGAGGCGGTGCCGCCGCTGGCGGGCTCGCCCAGGAGCAGGGCGGTGATGTTCTGCGCGATGACCGACACGAGGTAGACGCTGACGGCGCTGATGGCGACGTAGAGCCAGACGGGCTTGAGCATGCGGCGGTGGTAGAGCGTGCCGCCGTCCCAGAACACATCGAGGCCGCCGTCCACCACGTCGCAGAGGCTGACGTCGTAGCGGGAGGAGGGGTTGACGGAATACAAGTTTGTTAGACTTGTACTAGTCCAAAGTCACGCAGATATCACATCGACCTTAGTTGTAACAAGACAGTTTTTGCTCAAGACCGAGTTTAATGCACACAAAACCAGAATTGAGGAGCACATGAGAGATAGACTGTATGCTAGGATGTGAAACCCAAGCATCCAGACATGAGAGGACCTTAGCAAGACGGCTAGGAAAGCCCCCCTCTTCGTCCCACACGCTACATCGTCCGCCTTGCCACGTAAGTCGTCTTGGTTTACAGGAGAGTTTTTGTTAACTCGGCGCTATCTGACTGGCACGGCTGGCATACGTTCCATCCTCCCCCCGAGTTTCTGAAATAGTACGTTACATCGGACGTCAGAAAGTCACTCAACCAAGAGAATGTCAGCAGATCCAAGTCAAGATACGATGATACAACGTCAAGTTCACAGTCATGCTGAGTGGGCAATAACCATTCAAGGATTGTCCATTCTGAAGAAGATTTTCATGCAGGGCTGTTAGATGTGCGGCACAGAGATAAGGGGAGATGCCTGGCGAGCGGATGCAATGACGAGAGATGGAGGATAGGATAAGAGAGTCTGAAGAGAGAGAAGATAAGAGAGATGGAGAGGGAGAGAGAGCGTGCCCGCCGGCATTTGAAGACCAAAAGATAAATTTTTGAACCGTAAAGAACTTGTGACCAGAGATTGCTGCCGCAAGATTGGAACATCCGTTTCAAGGCATTTGAAGATTGTTGTGCAGTAGTACCTTGTTCGCCGATCCAGAAGTAGCTCCAGTTATGCATGCCACAGCCTAGCTCCATGACATGAAACTTCCGCCAGATCTCCTGGGAGTTCCATTTGATCCTACTCAAAGATCAAGAAAAATAAGAATCGAATCAGCTTCAAGTGCGTTTCCACACGGTTAAGCAGATATTCGACCGACCAATCTGGCTGGGGAAAGGCTTGTTTTTCCTATTCGAAGATCAATCAAACAAATTGAGGCTGAGATGAGAGGCCTAAACAACTTGCGGCTAGAGAGAGAGCCTGATTGAAGAGAGGAGTCATCCGAATGTGTAAAGCTTGATAGAATTTGCATGAATTTTCAACAGCAACGGGAAAACAATACCAAGAAAGAAAAAACTCCAGTAAACAATTCAACTAACCAAATATAAGATCAACATGATTGAGCATGTAATCGGGGCCCATAACCGACGGAATACAAGTTTGTTAGACTTGTACTAGTCCAAAGTCACGCAGACGTCACATCGACCTTAGTTGTAACAAGACAGTTTTTGCTCAAGACCGAGTTTAATGCACACAAAAACCAGCATTGAGGAGCACATGAGAGATAGACTGTATGCTAGGATGTGAAACCCAAGCATCCAGACATGAGAGGACCTTAGCAAGACGGCTAGGAAAGTCCCCTCTTCATCCCACGTACTACATGCCGCCTCGCCACGTAAGTCGTCTTGGTTTACAGGAGAGTTTTTGTTAACTCGGCGCTATCTGACTGGAACGGCTGGCATACGTTCCATCAGGGGTCCACCAGCACCCTCCCGGACTCGGCGCCCGTGCACCCCACGGCGGCGATGGCGCGGACGCCGGGCTCCACGGAGGCGACGTCGCCCGAGACCAGCGCCTCGTCGAGCGGGAAGAACCGGCTGCCCCCGGGGGCCCTGCACAGCGCCGTCGGGTCGGGCCGGCAGGGGAGGCTAGGCCATCCAATCGTCCTCACGCGCCCGTAGCGGACGAACTGCACGCCGCGCTCGTTGATGCAGACCCCCTGGCTGGACCTCATAATCTGCAGCAGGTCGCCGTGCGACCAGTTGATCAGGGACCCACCTTCGGGCGTCCGCATCAGCGGCCTGCTCTGGTCGGAGATGCTCACGAAATACCCCTGGGCCGTGCGGAGGGCCGCGAGCATGAGGTGGCACCAGCTCGGACGCCAGCCTCGCCTCGTCGGCCAGCGACGGGCCAGTCGGCTGCTCATCCCGGTCTTCACCCGCGGTCGGCACGGGGGCTAAATACGACCTGTAGAACCGCTGCATGAGCGTCCGCCAGAAGACCATCCCCCCTCTCGGCTCCACGGCGGGGCGGGTCAACGCCGGGTACCGCCGCCTGCCCGGCGTTTATACCCGCGGGGTAAAAAAAGGGGCCAACACCCCGGCCACGGCCACGGCGGCCGGCCCCCCACCCACCCGAGCACCCGGGATCGTGACCCGCGGCATGACGATCAACTCCGGCTGGATGAAGATATGGAAGGCGGCGGCGGGCGGGGCGTTCCAGGCCACGGCGCCGTTCGTGCCGGACGTGGCCTTCATCGACGGGCAGATCAAGCTGATGAAGCCGACGAGCGTCAAGACGTGGCAGCTCTTCCTCGTCTGCCAGTTCGTCAACTGCGTGCGGCGGCACTTCGAGGCCGGGGTGAGCACGGTGGTGCTCGCCTTCGACAACTACGAGCACGTCCCCGTGTGCAAGGGGATGACGCAGCACAAGCGCAACAAGAAGGTGAACAGCTTCAGCTTCGCCAGCGGGGAGTGCCTGCCTCCGATCATCCCGGACAACTGGGAGGACGCCATCCGCAACCGGCTGTTCAAGTCGCGGGTCATCGACTACGTCAAGACGAACCTGCACAAGCACCTGACGCTGGCGGCCCACCAGAGGCTCATCATCGACCACAACAGCACGCCCGTCGTGCACCTGCCCAACGGCACGTGCCAGGACTTTGAGCTGCCGCACGCGGGGCTCAAGGGCGAGAGCGACGTCAAGTTCACCTCCTACACCCACCTCGGCAACCTCCTCATCGACGCCATCGATGGAGACTACGTGCCCATGGCCATGGTGCACCTGGAGAACCTCGCCAGGGCCGGGACGCCCGAGGCCTCGCTGCCGCAGATCGCCATCTACCGCATGCGGGTGAGGGCGGGGGCGGCGGCGCCCGCCTCGGCCTCGGAGCCCAAGTACGAGTACGTGCACATCAACCGCATGGCGCAGGAGCTCTGCGACGACGTGGCGCGGCACTGCCCGGGCTGCCGCAACGCGTGCACGGTGCTCGCGAGCTTCGCCATCCTCACGGGCTGCGACTACACGCAGGGGCTGCCCACCATCGGCCCGACGCGGGTGTGGTGCAACCGGGAGAGGGTGATCCCGCTGCTCTCCACCCTCCGGGGCGGGCAGGAGGCGCACGACAGGGACGTGGCGACGCTGTCGCTGGCCTGCCCCGTGCTCTACGCCGCCGTGTACGAGAGGAGGGTGAGCGTGAGGGTGAACCAGTCGGCGTACGCCGGGCTCGGGGTCGGGGAGATGGAGGATCGTGCGGTGCGTGGCCTCGTGCGAGAGCATGGCCGAGAGCACGCGCAGCAAGCTGCCCACGGCGCAGTACCTCCGCAGCAACGCGCGCAACTCCCTCTGGACGCTGCACTACTGGAACGCGGAGACGGACCACCCGGACCCCTACTCCAACACCTTCGGCTACAAGCGGGCGAGGTCGGGCGCCGCGGGCTGGGGTGTCGCCCGCGGCGCGGCGCAGAGGAGCGGCCCGTGAGCCGGTCATCCCATTCTTTCCGTATCGTATTAAAGACCGCGGGGCCCAAGTGCGGGCAAAGGGTTCGCGAATGGTGGTCGTGAACAAGAAGAGCTTCTACCCGAACACCATACAGTACGCGCCGCAGCCCCTGGGCAACCACTATGTCCCCGCCGACCAGCAGAAGGCGGTCGACTACGTCCAGTCGTACAGCCTCATCTCGTACAAGAACACCGCCAAGATCGCCAACTCGGTGATCGCCGTGATACTCTTCTTCCTCACCTTCGGGGCCTGCTGCGTGACCATCACCCGGTCGTACGGGCAGAGCAAGATCCCAATGAACATCATCACCTACTCCATCGACCCCTGGGACGAGTACCAGACCTTTGGCGACGTGCTCAAGGGCTTCACCAACGCCACGGGGACCAAGAAGGACAACGTGCGGACGCTCTGGGCCTGGTCCAAGTGCGACCAGTACATCACCACCGGCCGCGTGCCCAAGTCCACCGACAAGCTCACCCTCGAGGTCGTCTCCGGCAACAACCCGGTGTACATCCCCGGGGGCTGCAACTGCATCGCACAGGTGGCCAACGCCATGGGCGACGGCTGGCTGTACGCCACCGCCACGGCGCCCAGCAAGGACGACGTCAAGAAGATGATCAACTTCTGCACCTACGAGGGCAGCATGCCGCACAACCTCACCGCCAAGCCCAAGGCCTACCGCACCCTGTTCTACGTCTACAGCTTCCTGTTCCTCTCCTGCACCTGCATCCTGATCGCCAACTTCATGCACGACCTGGTGGTGATGATGCTGAAGAGCTCCAAGGCGTCGCCCGAGAACCTCTTCGCCGCCATCAAGTGGAAGCTCATCGCCACCGTGGTGGTGTTCCTCGGATTGACCATCGCGCTCATGATCACCCTCCTGCTCGTGAACAAGGGGGCGCCCACCGACGCCAAGAACCCCGAGATCGGCCTGACGGTCGGCATCTTCATCATGGTGGCCGCGGCGGTGGTACTCTTCGTCGTCCCCTACCTCACCTACCCCAACGTGCTCGACGCCATCCACGGGCTCATCAGCCACGAGATCGACACCGGCATCCTCCTCATCGACAAGGAGATCCGCGACCGGTACCTGGCCTCCGACGTCCTCAACGCCCAGGGGCAGATCGAGCAGCTCTGGACCGACGTGCTCGCCATCCCCGCATTCGTCTCCCTCATCATCGCCGTCTGCATCATGCGCGGTTGGACCGACTACGACATCCTGCTGTACAACGCGCTGCTGGTCTTCCTGCTCCTCCTCTTCACCGCCGCCGGCAACTGGGTGACCTGCCACTGGACCAGGGTCGTCACGTTCATCGAGGCGCAGAACAAGCAGAACCAGAACGTGCCGGAGAAGAGGCAGAGCTCGATGGTGCTGGGCGCTATCAGCAACAACCTCGACGGCTTCTACCAGGGGTACAAGAACACCATCACTCTCTGCCAGTTGTTCATCATCATCGCCCTCTGCTTCACCGCCACCCCGACCAGCGACGTCACCCAGTACAGCTACATCGCCATGTACAACTGGCTCGTGCTGATGGTGTCGCTGTTCGCCGTGTTCGTCTTCCCGGACCTCTGGAACGACTTCCAGGCGCTCAAGCTGCACAACGTCACCGCCACCAAGCAGGCGTTCCTCAACGTGCTCATCTTCATGACGTTCCTCACCGTCAGCTACACCGAGTACGCCAAGAAGTCGCTCGTGTCCTAGTCGTAGTTAACGCATTTAAGAAACCACGGGGGCCCCGGCCCCCAGACCGATGCAGCAGCACCCACCCCCACTGCAGCTCAACACCGACCCCCTGCTGGCGGACTCCGCCGCCGAGCCCATGACCCTCGAGCAGGCCCACGAGGACGTGGCGTTGCAGCTCTTCATGCTGCGCAACCCCCACCTCATCACCGACCTCGAGTGGCGCGAGCTGCACGGCCTCTCCTGCAAGATGCGGGACAGGATCCAACGCACGGGCGACGGCTTCTGGGACACGCTGCGCAAAGTCACGGGCCGCGGCAGGAGCCAGCCCGCCCCGGCCTCCGTGCACCACACCAACATCATCCACTACCCCCCGCAGCCCCAGGCCTACTGGCCCCCACCCCCGCCGCAGGGCTACTACCCGCCGCCACCGGCACCCAGGCCGCAGCAGGCCGGCGTCGAGCCGCAGGTGTTCCCCGTGCCACCCGGCGGGGTGCTCTTCTTGCCCACCGCCGCCGCCCCCGCGGAGGAGTACCCACCCGTGCCCTCGGCGCCGCCGCTGCCGCCCGGCGAGACGGTGCAGGGCATCGCCACCCCCTTCCTCCGCACCATATTCGACCGCACCACGGTTTACTGAAGCCCCGGGAGGGGATATAAGACGCGGCGCGGCACGGGTACGGCCAGAGCATGCAGGCATACAACTACCCCATGCTGGCACCCATGCCCGCACCGCAGCCGCAGTACTACGCCGGCGGCATGCCCATGGAGGGCACGCTCGACCTCGACGACGACCGTAAGCGTAGAGATTGGATAGGGAAATGGCAGCTCCATTGGTACGGTAACTTGGTTTCTTTTTAGGGACCAAACTGGTATTGAAGATACGCCCGGTGATTAGATAGTCGATTGACTAAACATGATACCTAGGTGTGTACAGCACCCGGTACATGTAACATATTGAATATCTCATACTAATTCGATATGCGACATAGTATCACGATACCAAACTTTCAGAGTTCCAATACTAAGACCCACTCCAGTCCTGAGTCACAGTGGTACTGTCAGTGATTGCTGATGTACTCGCTGTAGTACTGGATGATGCCATATGGTACGAGCATTTTAAAACTCCCCATATCGGACTTTTACAGCATCACCACGAGGCTAAGTGTCCAGAGATTGGCCGGGGGCCTGATCTCTCCGGGCGGCCGTGACCGGTCAGCGGACCGTGTCAGCAGGCCCGTGACATGTCAGCCGGCTGACAGGGGCCGTGACCCGGCTGACAGGCTCACCTGACCGGTCACGTGACACATCACGTGACCGAGACAAGACTTTTTTATATCGCAGATCCCAAAAATTTCTCCCAGGGGGAAGAAAACCTCCCTTGACCCCCCTGTTTCTCGACGGATCCTGCCGGCCGGGCCCGTCAGTAGACCGACTGCAGCCTTCAGCCCCGCCTCAGACCCCCTGGAGGCCCGCCAGGAGGCTAAGTGTCCGGAGATTGGCCGGGGGCCTGATCTCTCCGGGCGGCCGTGACCGGTCAGCGGACCGTGTCAGCAGGCCCGTGACATGTCAGCCGGCTGACAGGGTCCGTGACCCGGCTGACAGGCTCACCTGACCGGTCACGTGACACATCACGTGACCGAGACAAGACTTTTTTATATCGCAGATCCAAAAACCCATAGGACATTTCTCCCAGGGGGAAGAAAACCTCCCTTGACCCCCCTGTTTCTCGACGGATCCTGCCGGCCGGGCCCGTCAGTAGACCGACTGCAGCCTTCAGCCCCGCCTCAGACCCCCTGGAGGCCCGCCAGGAGGCTAAGTGTCCGGAGATTGGCCGGGGGCCTGATCTCTCCGGGCGGCCGTGACCGGTCAGCGGACCGTGTCAGCAGGCCCGTGACATGTCAGCCGGCTGACAGGGTCCGTGACCCGGCTGACAGGCTCACCTGACCGGTCACGTGACACATCACGTGACCGAGACAAGACTTTTTTATATCGCAGATCCCAAAAATTTCTCCCAGGGGGAAGAAAACCTCCCTTGACCCCCCTGTTTCTCGACGGATCCTGCCGGCCGGGCCCGTCAGTAGACCGACTGCAGCCTTCAGCCCCGCCTCAGACCCCCTGGAGGCCCGCCAGGAGGCTAAGTGTCCGGAGATTGGCCGGGGGCCTGATCTCTCCGGGCGGCCGTGACCGGTCAGCGGACCGTGTCAGCAGGCCCGTGACATGTCAGCCGGCTGACAGGGGCCGTGATGTAAGAACTCAGGTTCTGACAAACCTCTCAGAAGTTCTTTCAGACGCGATAAGTTCAAGGGATGCGTCTAATCAGGTTGTGAACCAAGTGAAGCCTGCAGGTCCAAGCTAGTGGGCTGGAGCTTAGTCTGTGACTTAGAAGATCCGGTTGGTTGGAGCCTGGGGAAGCTGAGGCGGCGCCGGAGGAATCAAGAGGCGCCGGCTGTCGAAGAGGCAGCACTCGTACAGTGGTGGAAGTAAGGCGGTGGTGTGTGAAGGGAAGCTGTTTGGTTGGTCTTGCTGCTACGAGTGTTGGGAATAAAGTGCTGGGGATTGTTGGGAAGTTGATCTGAGTTATCTGAGGTGTTTGGTTGGCTGTGAAAGTCATTGGTGTCTTCGTGCGCACATCATCTGTGAGTCTTGGTCTTTGGACTTATCAGTCAGCTGTTGAGCTGTTCTACTAGTCATTCATCTGTGCACAGACTCTAGGAGTCAGGAATTGATTCCAATACAAAAAGAAATTTTTTTTTTTGTATTCACGAACAAAGGAATACAAAAAGACTCTACGATAAGATTCCAAGGACAACGAGTTAAAGGGCTCTTGGTCTTTGTGCGTCGAATTGACAACGAGTTTGAAGGCTCTTTAAGGCTCCTGGTTGTTGTACTGTACGCTGTTACTCATTTTTTTGGAACGGTATTGGTAACTCCAAGTTGACGATCATGAGCATGCCAGATCTGCAAGAGGAGTTGAAACGAAGCCATGGTGATGTTCAGGTCGACAAGCTGAAGCATGGGAAGGTTACCTCCAAGGAAAAACTCGAGGACCTGTTCCTTCCTTTCTCAGGTGCCATGAGTCGTTTTCGTCCGAATCTTGGGGCTTGTTTCTTAAAACTGTTGGACTTGTTTCCGATTGACGAGACTGGATCGTTTGTTGGAGAATTTCATGAACTGTGGGAGTCGTCTCCAGAAGGTCTAGAAAAATTCTCTTCGCTGGAGTGGAAGATTCAGGTCACGGCGTTGTTTCTGCATGCTGGGTACATTTGGAAGAATGGGAAGAAATTCAAGGATGCTCTTGAGAAGTTTAAGAAGTTGCGAGGAAAATTCGAGGAGGCAATCGCAGCCAGCGAGGATGTGATTGATGGTGCTTCAGAGGATGGAGAGATGGGTAATCCACTCGATACATCTGTGGTTTTCTCTCCACACAAGTACCAAATATCACCGAGGTTGTTCAGATCCTCAGCTGATCGACAGGAGGTGGAAGTCTTATTTGAAGATATTGCTGAGGTACTTGTAAGCACGAACAGTTATTTTCGAGTTAAGCTAAAGGATGATTTCGACATAGAGTGGCAGATGTCAGGAGGAGGCAACTATCCTTTGGCATTCTTCAAAACTTTGGCACTGGTACGCTGGAATGTAAAGCAACGAAGTGGAGCTGAGCTTATCGAGCTTACTGAGGACGAAGGGAGAGATCAGCTCAGAGCGCTAGCGAAACAGCCACTTGAGTCTGAAGAAGCCTTCTGGAGGAACGTGGACAAAATCAAGCTACTGTTTAAGAATCTCAAGGATAGTATTCAAGGTGTTGTGGGGGCACACCAAAGGATGGGGCCGTTAGAGATCCAGATCGCTGAACTCTTGCATGCCAGGTGTAAAGAATCGACTTGTGAATCGTTGCAGTCATTGGCATTGAATAGAGAATTGCGAAATTGGAAGAAGAGTAATATGAGACCAGAAAAGATTTCTCTCGACGAAATATTCCACTGGGGGCGCATCTTAAAAACTAGAAGCAAGACGACTACGACCGTGACGCCCGCGATGGATGCGAAGGGAGACGTGTCAGTGGTGAATATCACTGTGGCAAGTGAACCGTTGGTACCGAATGAACCGCAGGCTGTCGGAGAAGTTGCAGTGGGCAAGAAGAGATCCTCGGGGTCAGGCGAAAACAGTGGTCAAGCGGATTCGGGAGAGAATTCTCACGTCGATCCCAAATGGTATGGTAATTACCCAGTTCGTGGGAGTATACCTCCATCATATCCACAAGGTATCATGTTTCCCAGCCAAGACCCGTTTTTCAATTTCTATGCTCAAGGTCAACCCTCTATGTATCCATTTCCTATCCAAGGTCCGGTCGGGAACGTCCCAACGTTTTACCAGGCTTCTGGTCAAGCTCCTTCAGGACCTGGTAGGACGGGACAAGATCAGGCGGCGTTTGACCCTAGCTCATACCGTGGTGGTTTCCCTGGCCGCGGAGGCGAGGGGGACGGCGGACCTAACCATACGGGTTACCGTGGCAGGGGAAGGAGGAATCAGGATGGGTACCATAATGGAGGGAGAGGAAGTTTTAAAGGAGGCTATGGAAGAGGTCAGGGTGGACAGAAAGGACATGGAGGCAAAGGTTGGAAGGGTGGTCGAGGTCATGGAAATTTCAATCACAACCACAACTACAATAACAACAACTACAATCAAAATGATGGCAACTACAAAAATCAGCGGTTTAACCCTCGAGGGGTTGAAAGTGAACAACCGTCATCTGTCTTGCAGAATTTGTTGTCAGGGGGAGTTGTGGACGCTGAAACCACGCGCAAGATGGGGGAAGCGTTGATTCAGGCAGCTCAACGCATGGCAGCGAATGCTTCTTCAAGTTCACACAGTCACCAGCAGAAGGCTGACGCAGACGGCCAGCGGAATGAGTCAGAAAAGAAATCTTCTGTTCCTGCAAATCCATTTGAACGCTCATCGGCCCAGAATGCAACGGAATCTGCATCACAGGCTAATCGACGGCAAGGAGCGTGGAAAGCAAA